ACTACAAATGTTTGTACAGTGTTAGGAATCGAACCCGCGACCATTGTAGTTAAGGCGGCCGATGGACCTCTGGAGACTGTACAATTCTGCATTCTACTTATAATATTTATGACTTAAAATTCCAAATATACTAACATATCGGATGTTTACATTTTATAGAATAAATCTATATTACCACAGATAACATAATATTACATAATATTACCACAGATAACATAATATTACATACAGATACCCCATCCCATACAAGAAAATGGTTCCTTCCTAACTCGGGCTATTCTTCGGGCTATTTTATTTCGCCGCCGTAGCCGCTAGATGTCTCTAGATCTGAAGCAGTTCGCATTACTAGTGACAAAGCACGAAAATAGATGGCAGTCAATTCAGTCTACATGACATCTGTTTTGCAAAGATAGGTATACAATAGATATGCAGGTAACTGTATCGTGTACCTCATTAGGGACGATTCAAGATTCAATGTAAATGTGTAGGTATAATATCGTTAGTCGACACTCTGCAGATATGGCTTATGTGCCAATGTATATATTATGTTATAGTTTATTCTACATTCCATGCCTATTTTTTTGATATGTTGTAACGCGTCTGCGCTATACGTATAGCCCGATTTTGATACGTTTATACTCGTACGTATCAAAATCGGGCTATATGATTTTTTATTTCAATCGTTATGTGTAAGAGACTGATTTTAGCTATAATTAATTTACTGGTATATACCTCATGTATTCTACGATGTACCCCTCTTTTACCTAATGAGAATTCCGCTATATCTTATATATAAATTTTGTATCACAGTGTTAGTTGCCATATTTCTCCCACATTTTGATGAAATTTGATATGTATACTTGCCAGGTCTGAAGTAGGGTTGTTATCTATTTTTTATACCCCAAGTCATAGGGGTGGCCTACCCCGAAAAAATATTTTTTTGTATTATGGACAATTTTTTATTTATTTATAATGTTACATTGAAAATTTTCACCCGTCTTTCACCAACCCCTATTTTTAATAGCGATATTCTTACAAATATTATAAATGCTAAAGTAACTCAGTCTGTCTGTTTGTCTCGCTTTCACGCCAAAACTACTGAACTGATTTAATTGAAATTTGGTAGACAGATAATGTAGACCCTGAGAAAGGCTACTTTTTAATGCGAAAAAGTATTGAAAGGGGAAATGAAAGGCTATATGAGGATATCGTAATTTTTAAAGTCAGATCTTGTAAGATTAAGTGAACAGGGTCTGTCTAGGTTTTTCATTATTAGAAATGTGTAACGGGGTAACACGTTATTTAGTGCGAAATTGTGTATATTACAATAAAATTTAACGAGAAAATATTATAATGATGTCACTGGGACACTCATTGCCTTACTACTATATCGTCCGTTAGTCGCGAACTTTCTGGAAACACGAGAGGCGCGCTCCTATTGGTCGGTAGTAGATGAGGTAGACGAGTCTCACGGCGCCGCAGCGTAAGTACTTACTATACATACGTAGTATACATATGGGTGTTACAAATGTTTTTATTACGAGTAATATTACTCTGTTATCTAAGCAAGTAATGTGTGCTTATTTTGAACTTGATAACATTCTGAATTACTCGTATATCTTTCAATATCTTTAGCGGTATAAACCAGGTTATGTACTACTACTAGTATTGTTAGTGAGGGATAAAGTTGATGAACAAAAATAAAATAATATTCGTATTAAAAATATATTCATCTAATATTTTTGGCATTATTTTTAAGTTTCTTCCAAATACAAGGGGTCTGACATGGGGTGTTATGTACCTACATTAAAAAATACTTTTTGAAATGTATGAAATGTATGTACCTACATTAAAAGATAATTTTTGAAATGTATGAAAGAAATGTACATACGTACCTACATTAAAAGATAAGAAATGTATGTACCTACATTAAAATATAATTTTTGAAATGTATGAGATGTATGAAAGAAATGTATGTACCTACATAAAAAGTTCATTTTTGAAATGTATGAAATGTATGAAAGAAATGTATGTATGTACCTACATTAGAAGATAATTTTTGACATGTATGAAATGTATGAAAGAAATGTAGTACCTACATTAAAATATAATTTTTGAAATATATGCACCGTGCAATAACAATACACGTTAAACAACATACCACAGAGTCATACGTAAGTTAAAAACAAACTGCTATGATATTAATGAGAAAGGAAAATCAACTTTATGATATTCGAGTTAGGGTCGATTTCTCTCTTTTTTTTAAATACTATTTTAATCTTACCAGTTGCCAGTATTCGAAGACCGCTACGATTCGTACTTGATATTTTAAATTATTATGTAATCGATTTTTCAGTACAAATGTAAATAACCAACGACACTAATAATGTACTACTATATTCCGTTCTTTGAAACGGAACACTGCTATAATACAAAATAATGAAAATTTACTGTTCACAACGACTCATTAAAAGCATCATCGAATAATGCGCTGTAATAAAATCCTGTTATCGATTATTCAAAAAAATCGATAATACAAGTATTTATTTTTAATATGACAACACTTCATACATAAGTATTATTGGAAATAGTATTACTTGCTTGTTCGGCTATTTTTAATTTACTTAAAAAATTTTTATATGTTTAATTTACAATAAATATAAAAAAGACATTTAATTAGGCCGATACAAATGACGACAATGCCATCTATGAAAGCATTTTGAAAACATTGAGCCCCATATTAGCATTGATTAAAGTGTAATTAAGTACTGGAAAGTAACAAAATCAGTAAATATATGAAAATTACTTTTCTAAACGCATTATTTCATTTTAACATGTATATATAACTTTTTAAAAATTGATTAAACATTTTTGAAAACACAGTTTTGTTTTTTAAAACGTTTGCAAAACTATGAAGAATTCCATCGATACCAATCACGCCATCTATATGCAACTTTTAGCAATAATAATGGCTACTTCCTCATTGAGTGCCACTGATATTACTAAGCTTTCTATACTAATATTTTAGGGCAAAATATTTCATAACTATAGTCAAAAGAACAAATGCTATGACATGTAAACTAAATATTTTTTTTAATGCTTAATGAAACATTATTATTTACTATAAAAAAAAATATTGCGACACCGTCGTATATTTTTTGGGACTATAAATAAGTTAAAACACAGATCACGACATCTAGCGGTGAGTAGTTTTACTATAATATGTAAAGTCATCAACGCCATCTAGTATACAGTGTCATTAGTCGTCAGCGTATTAGTTTGATCTCAGAATAAACCTTTGCTTACACATTGTTGCATTCATTTAAATACATTTTCGTCAAGGGCAGATGGAGTTAGATATCTAGATTAGCTAAAGATTGACTAGAGATTGATTAAAGAACTTTTAAAAAGACTAATAAATTTGATTATGAAAACGAAATCGATACCTATACTCCATCTTAACTTTCATTTCAACAACAAATCTAATTTGATATTTATTCTAATTGGCATTTAAAATATATTTATATGCCTACCTAAAGACCTATTTCGAGGCATCTTTATACTCATACTCATAATATACTCAATCTCATCTCATAAAAAACATGTGCTATATTGGCTGTGGATAGACGACGTCAACAATAGAGAAGAATTAATTTATTTTCATACTTGAATTGAATTATAGTCGACTGCTAAATGCTGTAACTATTGTTTTTCATCCCTACTACACGTATCTAGTATCTACCCATACATTTTGTGTCACTAGTAGATATAGTTCAGGACAAACATCCATAATATTATACTTATTAGAAATATAACTGTCTGTAGTGGAAGAAACAAACTATTATTGGAGTACTTTATCAACGTAACAGAATGAATGTCAGAATTTTTGTCTGCTTGTTTGTTCTTCGTATTAATCTGAGAAAGGGCTTACCTAACGAATTTGTTAGTACAAATCGGTTTTCGCTAATGTATCAAATTTATTTGTTCGTTTTATTCCAATAGTAAAATTTATACGTTATACGGATATTACACGGGTATGAAGCCACGAACTCAACCAATGCCCACTATGTTAATAGGATTTAAAAACTCGGTTAATAATCATAATCATCACAACGAAACGTTGAGTTGGAAGCTCCCCGCCGCTTCATAAGTCCTTCAGGGGGTTTGGAGTGCCATCTGCACTCATACCCTATCATCTGGTGAAGCTGTAAAGGCCAGCTGCAGCCAACATTAGAGTAGTCAGAAAAAAAATGATAATTCTTAAATCTAGAAGTACACGTTGGCAAACTAAGTCTATGTGAAACTAGGATATATATTTATTTGCATATGGTAGCACTATTCAGCATTAACGTCTTGAAATTAATCTATGTGACTGTAAATAATGATTATAAAAAAAATAAAGTAGGTGTTTACAAGTTATTCATATTATCCATGTTATCCTTAAAAATCAATAATAACCCAGATATGAGTAGTCGTACTCCAAAAAGTGAAAGTAATCATAAATAAGAGTACATCCTTGTATAATACCATCATAGGAAAATAATAGTAAAAAGAACACTAAAACAACGACAAGAACATTGTAGATCTAACATTGATCGATTGTGGACATGTTTGGACACAGGAATAGCTCCACGGCATTACGTCTTCATTTGACGTCCGTGATACCTCTAGCTAAAGTTTATCTTATCTTATCTCCGTATCCTGTAAATTCATTTCTGTATCCAATTCATCCAATCATCCATTTCAAACCGAAATTTAGCTTTCAAAACAAGCTGCTTGACAGAAATAGGGTAAAATAGAAGTAACCATAAAAACTTTATATAAAGCCTACATAGATATATGCAATAACATTCTAATTGTATCCCACTTGAAATCGTTCTTATATCTGTAGAACAAAATCAGAAATTTTGTTTATGTTTTATGAATTAGTTCATTGTTTGCAATATGTTAGATACATAGATACATCCACAATTAAATCTAGGAAAATTAAAACATCAGTATTAATCATGAAATATCTATTTATTTCTACGTGCTAACTCATAAATAAATCAACCTACATTAATGCATATCATAAATACATGCAATAAATAGTAGAGGTACTAATATACTACTTCTGTATAAATATATTTATCAATATTTATATATTTTTAATAGTATCTAAACATTTGTATATTTACCTATTATGTATATGTGACCATTTGAGATCTGATAGCTGATTGGTAATGTGTCATTTTGTACTAATGCTATTGAAAAGAAAATGTACTATATATGTATTTTAAATATTTGAAAGAATTATATAAATAATTATGAACATGGGTATATGTTTGAAGTGCAAATTATGTCTTAAAATATGCGATGAAAGACGGATGTTCAATACAAATACCTAATACATAAATATATATAATAACATAATTTTAAATGCTTACGAATACAGAGTTTGTATGAATGTAAAAAAAATATAATATTAGGTTACTACAGACATTGGATATCCCTTTGTTAAACAAAAAATATATATTTATTTAATTTGTAAAAGTATTATTATAAAAATAAAGTATAAGTAAATATAAACAATTGATACATACATTAATAAAATTATATAAGTATAATATACGCTAACTATTCTGTCGGTTTTGTTACTTTTCTATTACATAAATATAAGAAGTATTTTAAGTTGACATTGCTATTAGCAGATATGTAGACAGTGGATCGAATTAAATAATAATTAATGGATAGTAGCTACAAAAGACAGCGCTCAGTCATTTATTCAACATGCATTGTAACGCCGGAGACTTCAGTTGAAGGTTTGTGGAAGATTTGGACGTCTTCGAAGTAAATATTGTTAACTCCCGTAAGCATCCAAGGGCGTAGGGGGCGGTCTACTGGGAAACCCAGTGGATCACTCGTCAAACGGATCGTGCCATCAATAGTGCTGGATTCTATCGAAGAACGCTGAACATCATTGGGCGCGTGATACTCGGAAATGTACACCATAAGCACGAATGGCATTCCACTGACACGACCTGTAGGATAATTTAGCATTGTTATAATCGTAATTAAATTTTATCTGCTAATATAGTCTTTTGCGATCATTACAGTATACGTAGGTACCCAATTTCCTGACGCTAGGCGTTTATTATTAACTTAAGATAATATTACTTTTATGCCGTCTGCTAGGTAGACTCATGTATTTCTGTTGTGAAGGATTCGCTAAACTCAGTAATTATATGAATGGATAACTTAGTATTTTTTTCATGGTATATAATTGCTAACGATCATATCGTAAGTAGTTTAAAGTGATCCTGATAGAAATTAATCTTGGTGAATAATATTAGCTAAGTAAAGTAGACCCCGTTATTACCCTATTTATTTATTTAGATACTAACCTTTAGGTATAAGAAGGTTTCTAGGGCATTTGAGAATGTTTTGTTTCAAGTTAAGAATGTACTGTCCTTGTCCATGTAACGCGCTGTCAACGTTGTTGATAAGATCAGAAACACTATCATAATCATCAGTGACCAATAAGTTGTCCGTAGATAGACGTGTAATCAAATTGTCGCCTGCTTTCACTGTAACGTTACAAATTAAGATAAATTACACATCTGAAAACTATATAATAACATGTTAAAATAAAAACAAACGCAAACTGATATTCTGTTTTTAACAATTGTGTTTGAAAACTAATACCTTGATAGATAGATCAAATCTTGTAAGTTACAAGTAAGATGACTATATTTTCAACTATCATTACTCATTTATTTACCTCTCAGTTATTTACCTATCTGATATATAGTCCCTATTTATTATATAACTGTTGATTATATTTTATTTAATTAGGTTTGACATATTGTAAAAAAAGGATTGTGTTTACATAATTTTGTTTAACATATTTCTGACTATCTCTCCGATGAAGAAAATACTAATAACAAAACAAAAAATAATTCGAGAGACAGATGGTATCAAGTTCATCTCTTGTCCATTGGTTTCAAATATACCCAGCGAAATGTGGTCATGTCAAATAACAGTTGAACACGCCTTTGACTACCCCATCTAGTATAATAGACGTACGGTATGTACAATTTATGTTTATGTATATAGTATATAGCTTGATGTTATTTCTTGTTAGAAATATATATGATATGAAACAATATAAATATTATATTCTGTTATATACTTACATTCGTAGTCGAATATGTCGATCAATAGGAAGTTCTGTGAGTTGATATGTAGCGGTATTTCGTGTCCCAAGCTGTCGTATTTCGGAGCCAGGAAGAATCTGACAGTGACATGTTTGGCCACGTCGCTCTTAACATTGACGCGTACAGTGTACACTTTGTGATTCAGACGAGTTCGCTGCACCAACACACTCTTGGTATTGTGAACATTTTGGCCTAAGAACACATTTCACAATTAATAATGTAAAAACATACATCGTTTCATAATTAGTATCTTATCCTTATTGTTATCCTATCAGATTTTTATGAAACTGAAATGCTAAATATGGGCACATATGGAGCAACATGTCTTATAGACATATCCTTGCCTGCCTATATTCCCTCCCTTCTAGAAGGGGTACCCTCATATGTTGCAACTCCTGTGACTGAAGTGTCATGCTTTCCTACCTCGTAATTTTACTGATTACCCTCAACCCATTAAATTGATATTATGGTAACAACATGTAATACATATTGTTATCCATCATGTCCCAAAAATTGTTAGGATGATTGTCACAATTTTTGTAAGTGTTTTAGAGAATAATATGAATAATAAGTTACAATATGTAAATATTGTAACAGTATGATTTTTTCTTTGTATCTGCTTGTAAAACTTGTGTAAAACTTTATTTTTTAATAGAGGGAGATAACTTACTTTCAATTTCATTCAAGTGAAGATGGTTGGAGACATTCAAGTATGTATACTCGAAGTAAGTTAGCAACTTGTCCACCTCGACATTTTGGATCTGGACTGATGGAACCAATAATTCTTCTGTAGTATAATATGGGAGTTGTGCGTGCCACAGTTCAAACAAGTTAAGCACGCGCTGTAAGATCATGTAGTATGCTGGGTCTCGGAGAGCTGTTTGGTACTGTTCCAGTACAGAGGGAACAACTAAAGGTACACTGAAAGAGAGAATAAAGGTAATAAAGAATAGTCGAAAATTATTAGGTATATTTCTATTTAGGTTCCGTTACTTATTTTTTTTTTTTCCTTTCCATTGTTATAAGCAATGTTATAATTTCATTTTTTTATACGTATTGAAGAGTAAATGCTCAAGTAATTGTAGTATTGTGTAAAATTGTATATATGAAATTTAAGTGGACTTTTCACAAATAATATAACAAATTTAGTTAAGACGACGAAACAATAACTGAAACTTAAAAAAAATTGTTTAGAAGTGTTTAAAATTAACCTTATTTCAATTAAAACAAATATTTTTATTCCATTTTACTTACCCGTTACGATAAACTGGTTCATGAACAATGGAATTTCCGAGAACCTTTCTCCAAATGCTGATGAAGTCTTTATAGTACCGAATATTAGGAGAGTCTACGTTAGCTTCAATAAGACGCCCAAGAACGTCAATAGAGTCCGGACTAGTAATGCTAACATGTTCACCAGTGCTCTGTAATCAAAAATGATGGATATAAAATTTGTCTTACTCTTAAATATTTATTTATACTTCTAATTAATTGATTGATAGACTCTTTTGCTTAATTTAATTGTTCGAAGCAATTATTATAATAATAATTAACCCTACACAACACACAGTGGAAACTAGCAGCAAACAAAGCAAAGCTTATATAATTCGTAGTACCAAAGACCAAGACAAATTGTTTAAGTATGATTTATCATTTGTTACATCACACTTAAATCATTAAATAATTATACATTAAATATAAAACAAATAAAAGACAAGATCAATGCAAATAGATAGAATAGACATACTCAAACCCGAGATCATTTGAAATTAATCCTGTGATTTAACCATTAGGCTATACCAGACTTATCATCAAAACGCCACTTGATGATGACATTGATAGTATATCAATAAAATAAAATAAGAACTCATATTCTACTGAATACTGTCGAATCCCTCCATCCCTTGAACAGAGATGAATGGAAAATAATATTGGATAACGAAAAACAGACGATGATTCTTCTCTATATGTAAGTCAAATATTGTGACTGTTGAGTCGTTAAAATTGCGAGATATGAAGCGACAAATGAATAAACTCTCATTCACAATGGTAACAATAGATCTAAACTTTACATATAAGAGACTAGCTATTACTTACCGTAATATAATAACCTTGGTCGATCGCTTCACGGATGCGGTTTTCATATATTTCGATTTCTTCGATTGCTTCGGAATGCCAAGTTTGATGATTTAGTACGAAGTGATTAGGTCTCACTGGGTATGGAATACCATTGTGATGCAATAAACCAGAAGTATATCCTTCCTCTACTTCATGCACACCTAGTACTGGAATCTCGCCAAGACCAACTGACAAGCGCTCCATGTAATATCGAGCCAGAATTTGTTTGGTGAAGAAATAGAACACTTCACCACGTTTCTCTCTTATCGAAGAAGATTCACTTCGAAGCCATATTGGATACGCAAGTTTCACGTTATAATATAGTGCGTTCAGAGTTGGGTCATGAGTAAAGTAACTGACTGGCAACGAATCTAAGTGGAAATATGGCCAAGCGGTTTCATTCAATCTAATGACTACATTATTATCCCAAATATAAGTTGAAGGGTAGTGTTCAACCATTCGGCTACCATGAGTAGTAATTCTTTGGGCTGTAGTCATAATCTCACCATTTTGGAAGTAAGAGGGGAGAATGTCATAGATTGGTGGGATTCTAATATCTTGAGTATCGGGTCGGTGGAGAATTGCAACGCTAAGTACGTACACAAAGAGATTTTCATTAACGTGCTCTCTTAAATATACAGCAGTTTTGTAGAACGTATCGTACGTCTTAGCTGAATAAAGTAGGTTATAATAAACCGATACTTCAAATTTGTGGAAAGGCTCTAAAATAGTAAACGGCATAGATTTAGGTAAGAAGTCATTATTCTGGAGCAAGCGGACAGTAAGATGAACGGCAGTGGCATTCTGTAAAAAAAAGATGAAAATGTACTTTGTTTCAGTGAGATAAAATACAATGCGTTAGTCTAGTGGAGTGAATTCATATAATCTACCTCTATTCCTTACAATACATTTAAGTGTAATAAAGAAAATAACAAATTTAAAAATACAATACAAGTCGAAAAGGGAAATAGATTTGTATGTTCCACATTACATGTTGCATTTCCATTCAGCATTCCCATTTAATAAAATGGTTGTCACATATGTATTGATTCCTATTACGTATTATGCATATAATATAATATAATATAATATATATAATATAATATAATAATAGATGTATATTAAAACTAAGACAAATTTTACGAAATTTGGAAATATATTATTGAACATAAAATTCTTAACTATATAATTTGTAATTGAATAAAGATATTAGATAATTATTCATCTTTATATCTTACATTGTAAAGGCCGATATTCTTCTCCAAATCCCATGATGTAACTATATCTCGTAATTCTTGAACGTGGATTGGCTCGTGAGGGTGAAGGAATAAAAGCAGAAGCTGTTGCTGATGTTCCAAATTTGTTCGATCAACTGAGAATAATTATAATCATAATTAATTGTCATATAATTGTATTACATAATAAACTCACTTCAAAAATGAGTATACTTAGGTGGGAGTGGGGGTTATTAGTAACGGAAGTATTTAGCCCATTGCTAGCAATATACCATATCAGATTGACATCCACGCGGTCCTCTCTGGAAATCATTGCGTTCAGTTTCTGGTGAATTCATCATATGGACTAACTGACCTGGCTTGATGAAACTCATTTCATCAAACTTCTGGTGCCCCACTATCACACACCATTTGCACCATTTTATTATCATCCATTTAATAAAATAAAATAATCGTATAGTGGTAGGCATAATAATTTATATTGTGTTAAATTACAATCTGTGTAATTGTAATTTTTTTTTACTGGCTGTCACATAATACTGCTATATATTTCTAAAAACACAGAGATAATAATTTTGTAATCAACCAAGTAAGTGGTCACTGTGGCTGATGCAATAATTACAAATTTTTTAATATCCATAGTGAAACTTTTACACAAGCAAACTGTTTTGTGAAACCTGCTGGATAACTTTCCTTATAAAGCAGTATAATCAATATAATCCCTTGCATATTCAGGTATAACAATGGTTTCTGCACTTTGAGTGAACTACAGCAATGTGCATGTTTGCAAATATCGACTTTACTTACTTCTATAATATTATATCTATGCTTAAAATATTTCATAACAATTCAGCCCTCTAAATGTTATAAAGACTGTAGTGGTCTAGTTGATTTCTACACACACAACAATAAATAACTTTATTTCAATTTATATTTCTGAAGTCATTCTTCAGTAACGGAAATATCTATAACAAATTATGCGGCGGTAGTCTCGCCCCAATTATATCACTAATGCTTCGTATAATTTTATGTAGAAATTAGACGATAATGTATCTTACCAGTTTTCTGCCATTTCTTGCCGGGAGTAGAGACCCCGCTAGCCACGAACAGGGCCAAAACACACAGAGCCAACCGACCCATCACTGCCAATTGATCCGATCAGTCCCCAAACTCTCTATTTATATGTATCACCTTTATGATAATTTTGTTTTTAACATATTTTATCTTAGTATAGGTCAGCATCCAAAATGTTATCTGAGACAGTATTAATTTCTCCCATCGATAGCCAATTAAAACGATGACACAATATTGCTATTATTCTCCTAATGAGTAGCATTGACAAATTCCAAGAAACAAATATTGTAAAAAATTGTAGTATATTGAATCTTTTACTATTAAAATCCTTTGAATGAATGATGAAATGATCTGCATCATTCATCATCATAATCGTCATGATTACCAATATACCAAAATCGACATAGCTTGCAAAATAAGTTTCCAGTAGCAAAAATAGATGAGCAAGAACATAGATAACAATGCTTTACGGAGTCTCCCTCTAAATAAAAATTGAAAAGAAAAATCCGTTTGAGACTATTGCACACAATCAAATTAGAAAAAATCTAACAATCACAGTTTATATACTTATATCTTTCAAATACAGACAGCGATCAGTTATGATATTATTATATGTATATAATAGAACAGATAATATTAATTAGATAAATTAATAAATGCATACATATTATAGTGATATAGACATAGGTATACTTTTTAACTAAAAATATGATAACCCGATATGTAAAGATTAATTAACATGCAATACAAAACTCCTTGACTTTGACATAAAACGTAGAGTGCATAGACCTGTAATCTGTATTCATATACTCGTATGCATTATAACTTAGTTGTAAATTTAAAAATTAACTAGCAGCTCACCTCGGTTTCGCTCACGTATATAAACTACGTGATATATTATAATTATAGGCTTGTAGACCCAATATACATACATATTTATATTCAGAAGTGTGGACGATAGAATGAATAGACTGTACGCGTGATATTAATAAAACAATGGATAGAGAATGGTAAATACTTATAATGAAGAGACAAACAGTAACAAGGCAAAAGTGACAATAAAAATGTGACTATTCTATAAACTGTAAAGAATATATAAATTTTTCTTTGTATCTGTTGATAAATAAGAAAATAATTTCAAGCGATTAATTTTCATAAAGATTAATTTTAAAATTAAAGTGAAGTGTTTACGTAAATACACTATAGATCTTTTAACTGAACTTAACTATACTTTTTAAACATTATTTTCGACAAATGACATTTTCTTTACAAACAAAATTCTTAACGAAATTGCTGGCGATATGTAATAGAGTCAGTATACATAGTTTTCCTACCACAGTAATATGAATATGAGTAGATAGGTCCTGCCTGCTATAATAATGCCGGCTCATTAGTATAAATGGTTCGGCCACACGGCCAATTTATTAATCGAGAGCCATATTAAAAATTGGTAGGAAAGGTACGATGTCTGTGACATGAGCCAATATATCACTTTGGTTTGTAGCGCGCCGGCTCGCCGCATCCTAAGTTTTGACGCATGAGTAATTTATTGGCCAAAAAAATAAATTACCGGATTGCCCACACATTTGTTGTGCTCAAGGTGGTTGATTCGGGTGCTCACGCAAAAAATGATGACGCCCGAGGCTTATTATGTCGCTACTTACAGTAAAGCAGCTAATGAAACCGGTAAAACACTGTGTCGCATTAAAAAACACAAAAAAACTCAATTTTTGTTTAAGACAAGAAAATGTAATATCCAATAATATTTTCAATTAAAATTAATGCAGAGCTTTGTGAAAAACTGTAGACTTAAATAATATGGAATTTGAATATTAAAGTCTAGTATTCAGACACCTGCGTGGCTGAGATGCACTGGTCTGCATTCCTAGTCAAAAGCCACTGTTATTTGTCGTGGTATTTTGTATTTCACACAAGTTATTTGTAATTATGTTAGTAACCTTAATATATTTAAATTAATATTCTATACCTATTTAAACTAATATTCTACCTATATACAAAATAACACCTAGCTCAAAATATTACATAGAATGTTATTTGTGTTCTATTTAGGTACTGGATACTATTTATTAGTCAATGGTTTATCAACAATGCTTGACAACGGATTTACACTATACATTATATATACAGTTAATATAATTTTAATTTAGTTTTGATTAGATAATATTGGGTTGACTGTCCAATATTATTCAATGGCTGTCATCGAAATAATAAAATCATATCCGATATATTTATTATTATATATTTTATTGCGTCTTTGCGTCTTTTTGCGTCTTTCGCTTTGCTTTGCCTCTTATGCTCACACAAGTTTCATTAAAAGGAAGTACAGTTAATGTCTAAAATTTCAATCGTATTATATATATGTAACTAAAATAAAGGTTTTTTTACAATGACTGTGCATGACGCACCTCTTCACATATTATTTCTGTTTTTTAGCTATTTTTTAATATAGAAAATATATACGTCATTGTCACTGTTCTGCTAACTGTTTTAGTTTTGTACATAAAATTATATTATTTCTTCCTAAAACCCGTATTTATCAGCCCTATACGTATACAGACCTTCGTTCGTTCACAATGACTATATAATTTACATAAATAAATTATATAATGAACAGTGTTATTCCTGAGTAATTTTGAGGTGTACCTATAATTTGTCCAATTTTTGTTCAAAATTGACATACCCGCGCAAAAACGATACAGTTTGCTAGTTGGTTATATAATAAAAATAATCAGATTACGCATACATACATATAATTCGTAATTAATATTTTACTACAATTATATGTGTGGCCGTAAATTAATCTAATCCAGATATTAGTCTTTCAGACACGAGTGCTTAGAAATATTGCGATATCGTTTCACAATATACCTCATGCAAATAACGACAAATCCTAATAACGAGGTATAAGATCGTTTAATATTCATATATTTGTTTTCGAAGGCGTCTGACACTTTGCCGATGGCTGCGTATTAATTACCCCGGCCATGAGCACGCATACATTGAACTCTGCACTCTCACTCATTGTAAATGATTTTTGTTAATTGATTTTGAGCCTGAATACACATTTATTTATTTTTAAAGGTTTTTATATAGACCCCAAAAATATAGTACACTATATTTTTATGTGGGCAGGGCACATAGCTCGTAGGACAGATGGCCGTTGGGGCAGTAAAGTCCGCGAGTGGCGACCACGGACCGGAACACGCAGCAAGGTGGACCGACGATCTGGTCAAGATCGCGGGAAGGCATTGGATGCGAGCAGCGCAGGACCGATCGTCGTGGAGATCTTTGGGGGAGGCCTATGTCCAGCAGTGGACGTCTTCCGGGCTGCGATGATGATGATGATCATGATATTTTTATGTATCCGAAATGGCATAAAAGGCGGTAGGTCCCCTGATAGAACCTGGTAGCCGTCGCATATACTCGTGCCTAAGGTACCTTAAATTTAGAGTTTTATGTCTACCCCATAATTACACTATTCAATGACAACAATATTTCCTGCAAACTAAAAGGCTTTGAACTTAGAATCTATAAAAAAACAATGAATAAACCATTCATACTTAATTCAACATGTTACGGCGCAGTTTGTATTTTCTATTTTAGTTCTATCTAGGAGAAATTTGTCCCGTTACATTAATAAATATTCTCTGCGGCTTTCAGTTTCATATGCCTTTTACTACCATGTCCATCGTAATAGGTACATGCGAATTAACTGAAATAATATCTATATAACGTTACATTACGGTAATAAGTCTGTTGACATCAGAGAACAATAGTTTACTAAATAAGTTAATTCTGAGAAATCCACTTGTACGTCAACAAAAACATCTTCAACTCGAGCATCAAAGAACAATACGGCTTAATCCCTCAAAGAAAGGGAGATCAGTAAACAAATCATCCACAAAATATTTTGTCAATTTCATGTCACAAGAGGTGGTCTTATCTTGCTTTGACACATTGCACATTGTTCGTCCTTTTACACTTTCTTTTTCAAACACATCGAGGGTGGCGATTCTGAAATTGGTATGTCAACATGACGCTTTGAAAGCAGCTTATCCCTTCATCCTATTATGAGTGTTGTTTTCTAAAATATAGCTTTCACTTCAATGCCCATTGAATCATAAAAAAATTGAAACAGTTATGTATATTTAAGATTAACAACCCTACTCTCCAGTTGAACAATGTGCATCACATTATTACTAATTCTACAGCTAATTTACGTTGTAAGCTGATTTCCGGTTTGATTGGTTTGACACCATAGTCTCAGGAATTATAACATACACTGGAATGTATGTGGTATGGTCGTACTATGTCATAATAGCCATGGTGCCTTAAATTTTGTTCGTGTAATTAAACGGAGATTACTACTTACCATTTGTAATAAATACCTATCTTTCAGATAGTGGAACCATTTTGTTAGTGTATTTATTATATACTATGTTATATAACTCCATTAGCTAGAATATTCCATATATGCAAGGCTTTTTACAAGATTTTAAGTTTATGCTTGTTGAGTTACATTCTGTTGTAGCCAGATAATAATGGAGTTTCATAAAACATGGCCTCTAGCTATTTTATTAAGTATCGATGTTATACTTACTTTCTTTCCTGTTTTCACATATATGTATAGTAGATACTTTGTATTTAGTATAATATAAATTCCCCAATTATAAATGAATGTCATTACTTGTGAAAATACAGATATTAATAATAAACATTAAAAATCGACGACCCCGGTGGTTTAACGGTATGGTATACAGCTTTCTTCTTATGGTCCCGAGAGCGATTCTCGCTCACACATTATAATATTAGAGTTACGGCATTGCTGTATTTACTGTATAATATATTAATCTATAATAGGTTAAATGTAAGACCTACATATGTATCAAATTACACACAGTTTAACAGTTAAAATGTCATTTGGTAATAGTCAACTTCATGTACGAGTACTTACAATATTGGTATGACATCATATATTTATCTTGAATTAAAATACCAAGCTATATTAAAACTAATCAATAAAGTGACATTACGAATATTTGATAAAATGATCATTGAACTCTCAAT